TATATATATATATATATATATTCTCCACTTAGACTAGCTTCTTTTTGTTGGGGTCAAAAAGAAAGATTTATATCAATTGATATTTGATGTGTACCATTAATAAATGTATATAAGACAATTTTGTCCATGTATACCACATGTTTATAATTGACTTGAAATCATATGATTAATTGGAGGTCTAACATTAGTACGTTGACATCTTCCAATTTCTAAGGCTCGCATTGCGCGCACTATTGGTGCCTCAATGTGTTGAACTACTTCAACAAGTTTACGAGTGAGATATATATATATATATTCAGAATCTAATGTTCGTACAATAATAACAATAACTCTTTTACGGGTTCCGTAGCAAAAAATGGTTAAAAGATAGCGTTTCACGTAAATTGATTTGAATAAGAAAATCAATCATTTGTCTTTGAGGATCAGGCATCAATCATAAAGTATTTTTACGTTTTTATATTAGTCTAACGATATTTTCAATATTCATTAAAAGCACTATAAAGAAACTTAGCATAAATTTTCAAGGATGCTACACATATTATAATAACGTAAATGTATACCTTACATTATATTTCAATAATCAAATCAAAGCAAATAATGTAGTAATAATTACGTCTCAATTTGTAATAAATTGAAATTAAATATATAAGTGGAGTGTAAAAAAGGTTGAACTCGAAACAAAACAAAAGTTTGAAAATTATCTTTTCGTGTGAGTGCTCTTTAAAAACAAGAATAGATATATATGATGATCGATGAAATGAATTAGCTATAAATGAAGAAGAATATGATATTTATATGAAATATATATATAGGGAGTATTATATAGTTACATTAATGATTGTTAATACCGTGGGAATATCATGTATCGAAAACTTTGTGCTAATAAGAGATTAACTTCTATCCACTGACAATGCGTGGATAGAAATAGAAGTTAATCTCTAATAAAAAAAAATAGGCATATTTTGTTGTACGGCATTTTGTTTCTAGAACCAGAAAACAAAGAAGTTTTTAATAGTTTGAAAAGTAAACGGCCAACACGTTAATTATTATTACTAAATAATAAATATGATGTGTTTGGTGTGTGTGGCAATCGTAGAAATTTATTATCTTAATCATGTACTTGTAGGGAGGAAATTTTTTTCTTGCTATTTAAAAATTTCAAGAAAATTATTTTTTACATATATTATATATATAATTACGTATTAACTAGTTATAAATCTTTAATTGTATACTTAGTTTTTTTTGTATTCATAAACTTTAAGTTTGAATCTGTTTCTAAGCGAAGATAAAAGTATTGAAGGGTGGGAAGAAGATAATTAACTGAAATGACATTTAATAATCTATCTATGGTATTTCTCATTACTCTTTTAAATAATAAGAAAATTGAAGTAGGCATGATTTGAACATAGATGTTTTTTTTCTTCTTCTAAGAAACTTAAATTGTTCCATTGCATATTTTATTTTTGGTTTAATTTAGGGGTTAAGTGAGATGGGAGAATTTTGACCTATAACATATTTTCTATGTAACAAACGTGTGAATAACCCAAATATGATAATATTTTACTCCATATTTTAAGTTCCAATGTTATTGTAAATATTAAAATAATGACAACAAAATCACTCAACAATTAAGTATTTGGTCAAAGAATTAATATGCACCTATTATACATAATTTCAATATATTAATCAAGCGGCACTTAATTAATTATCTCATAAATACATCTCCAACTTGGATAAAACGAGTTTAATTAATATTTTACATTCTAGAAATTGTCTCTTCTAAGTAATTACCTAACTTATTATAGTCTAATTTAATTAATTAATCATAGATGATATGTTTTTTAGTAAGTAATTAATATATACATGATGGGGTAGCTTCATGTAAGGTTCATGGACAGTTTGATGTTTAATTAAATTAAATTTATTTGTTGTTTACAATTAGGGTATAACGTGTGTATCATGCTAATTTTTTATTAACAAAAAAACTGGTTTTTTTGTACTTAAACTCCTATTATTAGAGCACTCATGTGATTAGAATAATACTATTTGGTCTTGTCATATTTGATGTCTGGTACCATCTTCAAGATCGAATTAATTAAGATTTTACAAAATTGAAAATCGAAATATCTGATGAAGAATTAGTCATAGACGAATTTAAAATTTTTACTAAGGGGTGCATGTAGTGTCTAGGATTTTGAACTTAAAATCTCATGGCAAATTTTGAATTTCTAAATCACTAAATCAACCTCCAATATTGTGTTTAGGAAATTCAAAATCTATATATATACATGGGAAAAGGACAAATATGCCCCCAAACTATCGTAAATGGTATACAGATACCCTCCGTCATACTATTGGGACATTGATGCCCCTGCCATCTAAAAACTAGAGCATATATGCCCTTCACTCTAACGGAAGACTAAATAAGGACACGTGGTGCAGTCTTATCCGTCGATCCGATATTTAATAAATGTCAGGTTGGCGGATAAAATTATGACACGTGTATGTCCGTTAGTATAAAGAGTATATATGCTCTAGTTTTTGGACGACAGGGATACCAACACCAATATCCCAAAAGTATGACAAAGGGTATCTGGATACCATTTACGATTGTTCGGGGTATATTTGTCATTTTTCCCTATATACATTAAAAATATCATATATACAATATAATTTTTTTACCGAGTAAATTCGAGTGAACATCCTTACCCCTCTAAATCCCCCTGCTTTAGTAAGGTTGATGTTATTATCACATGAAATTTCCCTATTGATGATAATTGACAATAATACAATGTCCCAACCCATAAATTCCAGTGGGCAAAAGGAATTAATTAAGTGTATACTTCTTCCTCTCATTTATCATGAAATAATTGACATAATTCCAAACATCATAAATCCTTTAATTTCAGTGGGCAAATGGAATTTAATTGTGGAATTATGATATGTTTGAAATCATATATCAAGCTTATCTAAAATCATTCTCATTACTCACTAGTCTACATATTATGACTTGTTTTTCTTTTTCTCCACTCAATATTCAACATTGATTAATTCAGATTCACTTCAAAAAGTCTTATTCGAAAACTTAAGTGCTCAATTTCCAAGACTAGAACCCGATCCAAAACTTCTAATTAAAAATGAGAAACTTCTATATCTGTCAATATGCATCCATTAAAGAAGTCAAAAACAACTGCTTTGCAAAAACTCTCTAGTGACATTACAGTATATGCTAACAAAACTTTGCTTCTAATGAATAACAGTATAAAGCTAATGTAGATTGAGATAACTGTTACACAAACCAAACATGCATTAAACTTACTACACCTTGCGAGCCAACGTCCTCTGCTTTGTCGCGAATTGTACTACTTTTTCCTCTACTGGAAGACCTTTCTTTCGTCTCACAGAATCCATGAGTTTTCTTGCTATACTCTGTGGCACACTGGCACCATCTCCGAATTCTTCTTTCTCCTCCTCGGTCCTAGGCACAAAGAAAGGATCCTCTGGAAGGGCTTCCCAGTGGCTGAGAACGAGTAGTGCACTTGCAGCTCCAGAAGTCTTT